GAAAGGAATTCTGATCTGCTGAAGTTTGTCTCCTCTGTGTGTATCCTGCACTAAATGCCAAAACCCCCTGTGGAGTCAGTGCAAAGATTACAACAGTGAAGCAAACTAGCATGGCTGACTTCCATCTGGCATCTAGTCTAGGCCTGGCTGTTCTCACTCATCGTCTGACATAAGGCCCAGGCCCTATCATGGTGGGAACTCGGCTAGTTATGGGTTTAACTTTGAGCAAGATGTACTAGTTCCTCCATAACCTACCACCCTTCCTCTTTTGCCCAGGGCATTCGCCCTTTTGTAAACTGGTGAAAACCATGAGATAGATTACAGGAGGAAACTGATGTTGCCAAAACGTAGGCACAGTTTCTATATCCTGACTTCCTCAAATGTCATTTGGTCAGTCTTACAAAAACTTAGTAACTAATGCTCCTATAGATAACATCCACTATTGGTAGAACACTTGAATTGGTTTTTGAGTTTTTTCCTCATTCCTTTGCACTTCTGGCACAGGCCCTACCCTCTCATCTATACACCATGCTAATGGTATCCGCCAGTCCGCGTGGTCCCAACCTAGAGGTGAATTCAGCCACAAACAGATCTTTTCCCTCCACCCCCATGATTCCATCCCCAAACAATCCAGCAGTACCATTTTTTAGCTCCTGTGCCCCTGAAACCTATCCCTTGAAATCTCTAACCCCCTGATACCAACTAGGAGGCTGAATTGGGAGTATATAACAGTCACCTAGTTCGAGGCGAATAGTTTGGGGAAGCCTAGGAGTCGGAGGAGAAGAAGTGTGCAGGACAAGGGCCTTTGCCAGTTTAGACCAATGAAGCGATGGAAATGTGAGGAACCAGAGAGAAGCAGAGAGAGGCAGGACAGCCTGGCAGTGAACAATGGGGGCTACAGTGGACTTCGAGGCCCCAGGGACCCAAGGTTGACCCCAGTCTCCAAGTCCAGGACCCAGGGAGCCCTGAAAACCCCCATCGCCCAAAGACGCTTAAAGAAGTTACACTGAAATGGCGGGGTGTCTTTAGGGGCAACGAGGTAAGTGGGGGGTGAACCATGAGTGCAAGCTCTGAGGACAAGAAACGAGGTGTGATAGACCTCCTAAAGGTGCGCATCCTGAGGTCCACTCTGTAAAAGCGCTATGGACCCTTCATTTCTTCATTCAATTCCCTCATTTGTTTAATGCGCCGAGCCTCCTGCGAGGTGTGTCTTCTCACTGGCGCCTTGCTGGTGCGGTTGACGTGGGGAAACGAAAAAGATTCTCTCCTTTATCCGTCCATGCGCCGTGACATGGACACTTTGTGAAACAGGAATTTCAGGTTTCAGTGATAGGGGTTAACGATCGAGGGGGAAGGCCTGGTACATTTTTGCACTGACTCTGACCAGTTGCGGGCAGGCGATTTAATTCTGGATACAGATAATCAGCTGACACTTGCCTCTCCACTCCTTCTGACGGTTTGGATGCCTAAGAGAGACCGATTCTGAACAATAAATTGACACTATGGGAGTCCTGGAACCCAATAAGCCCCTCAACCTTCTGGGTGACGGGAGGAGCGGCCTGTGGCTGCAGACAGACCTCATGGGACCCTGATCCTGCCTTTCTGTGTTTGTTGACTCTGTTTCACGTGACCTGCTCGTTCCCTGTGCACTCAGTTCTCTCTCTCAGTCAACATAAGCTAAATGCGCAAATGGACTGCTGCTTTTCCTGCTATCTGTGAAATAAATTGGTGATATTCAGTCCACATCGACCTAATGCTTGGCACAGTGAGGTGTCCCACACAAACAGCATTTCATTAATTATTCACTTCCATGAGGAGAGCCACCTTAGGTCAGATTCCCTGGTTGGCATCAAGCTGCTGCCAGGTACCTTTTCTCTCTTACTTTTCTGCTTGGGTCTGGGGACATTAGAGTTTCCTGGGATGTCCCTGAACCTTACAGGCAGTTTGGCTGATGCCTAGAAGCTTGTCTTTCTGTCCCTTCCCATCTGAGTCTCCAGGTGAAGAAGCTCTGTCCTTGCCCTAGATGACCTCTTGAGAGCTGAGCCCTGTGCTTGTGAGCCGCTCCAGGAGAACGACAGTCCCTCCCAGCAGTGGTAAATCCTTGGTCCAGTAAACGCCCTGCCACTAACTGCAGCCCTGGCACAGGCTCCTCAGCTTTTTCTGGAGTACCGGCATTAAGACAGGGGTCATGGGGTGAAAGCTTCTAGAGCTGAGCTTCTTTGAGGGGAATCTTGCCCTTAGGCCAACCCTGCTCAGTTCTCCCGGGTGTTTCTCGGGTAACGCGTTTACTGAAGAGGGCATGGGTCTGCCTCGCGACTCGATCTCCTCGTGCTGAGCA